TCTCCTACAAGAGGCCTTCCTTGACGACTCATGTCAATTACTCCTTCCATCACTCCTTATCACATGACTTTATTTCATCACTACACGCATCACAAACCGTAAACATTTGTCCTTGTCCTTTATACATATTTTTATTGTCTGTCTCCTCTCATACTTTCATTCCTACATTATTTACCCTGCAGGGGCAGGTCTGAGTGAGTATGGCTCATTCACCATTTTCATTGCTCCTGAATGAGTGAATGAATGATGTAAATGCTGATGGAAGGTAGGGAGACAGGAATCATTCCTCTCCAAGCTTCCCTTATCTAGAAGCCGAGTCTTAAACATATTGTTTTCTCCACTTATGTCCACAATTGCCAAGGAAGTGTTGTACTGGGGCTGGGGAGATGGTGTAGAAGAAATTAGACTCAGTCCCTGTTCTCATAGAGCTTCTGGTCTTTCTAGGGAGGCTGACTGTGAATATCTGCTCACAGGGCACCAAGTATAAGAAAGGGAGTACACTGAGGCACCGCACCCAGCCTGGGCAGTCAGGACGGGCTTCCTGGAGGAAGAGGTGCTGCAGCTGAACCAGAAAGAATGAGTATAGAATCAGGTAGACTTAGAGAAGGAGGTCAGGGTGTGTGAGGAGTTGGTAGGGGAAAGGAAGAAGTGTGCCTAACATAGATTCCCTCACCCCAAATCAGAACCGGTAAAACCTGCCCCATGCCCCTCACTACCTACACCTACTGAGCAGATGGGATGGGGAAAATGTTGACTATAGCATGTGTGGGATTGGGGTCACTGTGATTCACCCTGACGGCCAAAGAGGTCACAGCTCCACCTGACAGCCACCACATTCTTGAGGAGACTGAGTTTTGCCCACAAGATCAATATTTTCTCTTGGGAGGTGACTCTGTCAATCCACTCCTACCAGCTGCTGAGCCCGGACACAGGTGAATGGGGCCAAGGCAGGGAGCCTTAGGGCAAGTGTGGAGGACTGATGGGCCACAAGTCAACAGTTGGAACTGTCACAAGGTTCATATTGCTGCCACCACACTTTAGGCTGGGTCGCCAAGAGGCAGAGAGGCAGATCCCAGGCAAGGACTTGGGTGCATGTGCTTTACTTTGGAGGAGATTCCTGAAAGTGCTGGTAGGGACCAGAGGGAGGAGATCAGGAAGGGAAGGAAGCCAGGTACATGTGGTGGTTGTTCTGGACAAGCCAGTGGGCCTTCATCCCAAAGGGGAACAAGGGAACGTGGAGAACATAGAAGGGTCAAGGTAAGGCTGTTGGGATGAGCAGTCCCTGGTACCACTGCAGTGTGAGCTGACACTAGTGGATGAGATAGTCCTGGAAAGAGCCTGAGGCTGGTGGTGTGGTGAGTGGGGTTAGTTCCCAACTCAGAGTGGTCCAGAAGGACAGAGTACAACTGTCCCCAGGGTATTCAAGGCTGTAATCTTTATGGATGGCTACATCTTTCTCATGGGGAGCAGTTGTGTGGGCAGTGTGTGTAGGAGGACAGGGAATGAAGACTAAAGCCATATGGGCAGGCGCTGATACATCCCCACCTGTCTCTACCACAGACCCCTCCTTCCCACTCTCAAGTCTCACCTTCCTGGGGGGTCCTGACCCCCTCTAAATGGCACCCCGTACCCCTAGTGCTCCGTTACTGCTTGTCCCTACACTACAAGATCGCTTCTTGTCTTTGTTTAATCTGAAACGATACATTTCTTTACACATTTGCCATCCTTGTTTATCTCCTGTCTCTCCCACGAAATTGGAAGCTTGGTCTTTCTTATTAACCGCTACATCCTGGGCCAGTCTTTTAGTAGGTGCTCAGCTAAATGTCCTTCGAAGGAACAAATGATGGCAAATTTCAAACTGGGAGCTCTAGGTTCAGAACTAGATGGGGCCTCTAGGGACTTCAGAGGGACAGAGACTGCCCAAGTCTGCCCCCTCCACTCTGTCTTTCAGGGGCCCTCCAGCAAGAGGAACAGCCCCCAGATTCCTAGGGACCCCTCTCTGTTACCCAGAAAACTGCTTTCTGCCAATTCTTAGTAATCTGCTCAGCCTCATTCTACCCCCACTCCCCAGCTGAAGAGGAAACAGTCAGACAGCTGTGAGCTGGGACTCTCTAGTTGAGATGCATTAATTTGTAAATATCTTCATTTATATGTAAATGTGGAGCCCGGTGCACCCCACAGCCCGCCCTAATGGGGCCCTGCAGCCTTGCCAGGCTGCTTTCTCAAGCACTCTGCCTGGGCAGGCAGGCAACTGTCCCCAATTGGATTAGACCTGCTCCTTCCTCCCCTTGGCCTGTGGCCTTCTGGCTATTGTCCCCAAGTCAGACCAGACAGCTCAGCACCTGGGCTTCTCTGCTTAGGATACCCCCACAGTAACTGAGGCTCAGGAAGAAAGCTAAGGAGAGGCATGGAATGGGAAGGAAAGCCACAAGTATGGAGAACAGGGTTTAGATTCAATACTGCTGTGTGACCTTGGGTAAATCTCAGGCCCTCTCTGGGCCTCAATTTCCTCAACTGTAAAATGAGGAAGGCAGCATGGTGTAGGGTAAGAACAGGTGGCTTGGGGACTGACCAAACCCATGTCCTTCCAGCTCAGGACTCTTGGGCATGACTCTTGACCCCTCTGAACTCTGCCCCCTTCTGAAAGATAAGGCAGGAGAAAATAATAATGCCGGTCTGTATCTACATGATGGTTAGTGAACATCAAATGAGAAATGTGTAAGGAAGCTTTATGAGATTCATAAAATGGTGTTTGGGGTTCTGTTTTGTTTTCTGGTGGGGAAGGAGGGGCTGAATAGTAACAGCAGATCTGCATCGCTCAGCTCAACAATGGTGTGCTGACTCTTTGCGCAAATCTCAAATCCTCACAAGGTGGCAGGGAGCATGCTACAGTGAGGAGCTCACTTTCAGAGGGCAGGAAACTCATAATTACAGATCCACTGACCCTGGGAGGCTGATGTGTCAGGATTTGAACTCAGGCCTTTGGACATATATTTCACTTAAATCCCACAATTGTTTGAAGGTGAGGAAACTGAAGCAGGGAGGTCAGTCAAGGCCCTAGACTATGGTCACACAGTAGGAAGTAGCTTAGCTTAGCGGCACTTGGAGCCGCACCTTCTGGTATAAGATCCAGCACTGGAGGGTGGGGGTCAAGAATGTTCTGCGTGGTCCCTGGGTATTTCCTCTGCCTTAGAAATCAGAGCCAAAGAGTCTCCCTAGAGGGCTAGTGGTGGTGGCGGGGTGGGGGCTGAAAATGATGGGATAGGTTTTGAGGGCTTCTCAGAGACCATGCTAACCATGCACATGGTAGGAACGGCAGAATTTGGTTTCTGGAGCTCAGGGATGATCTGAGAGCTCACTGACTGCTACAAATCCTCCAAGCTTCCCAGAATAGTGATTTTCTTCTCCAAAAGGAGTTTTCACCTCCTTTTTCATCTTGTTGTAACTGACTTGTCTTAGGTGTGCTTTAATATTTTAAGGTGCCCCAAATCCTTGTTGGGAGTGAGTGCAGGAGAAATTATAAATAGATGAATGAGGCATCTGTGCAGAGATTTAGGAATCTTCGCAGAGCCACAGAGGCTGGATTTGAGTTCCTGGCTTGAAGTCCAGTGAGGAGTAGGGAGGAGACACAGACCCACAGTCCTCCAGGGAGCACCCCACCTAACCAAGATTCCTGCTCTGCCTGGCTGGACGTCTTCGCAGACTCCTTACTCCACTTTCTAATTCTACCCACGAGGAAACAAAGATCCAGTGGCTAAGTGTCATGCGTTTATTTTTACAAACATACATTCAGTACCTACTGTATGCCAAATCATTGGTAAGAGCTGAGCAGATGAGGTGAAAGGAAGCATAGTCACCTAGGACCCCAACTCTCCCCCCATGTGCTTCCTAAAAGGCTCCAAACCTGTCTTAATTTTAATGCATCAAGTTTCTTGTCCCCCAGAAACTCATGGTGGCAAAGACCAGGACCAACCCTTGTCTGGAGAGAGCAGTGCCATCTGCCTCGGGGTCAAGGCCTGTAGATGACCCAGTACATTAACACTCACAGGAAATATCCAGCCACCCTCCCCTGAGGATGTGTGGACTTATGTCACTTTGTCTAATGCAACCAGCTCCTCCAGTTTTGGAGCAGACTGCAGCTTTCTGACTGAGCACCAGGCTAGAAAAAGTGCAATGTACAAAAAGCTTGTGTCTATGTGTGCAAAACCCTCTATGCCGGGATGAAGTTACTCCGCATTACTGCAGTGAGGGCTTCCCCTACTGGAAAGGTAGTTACTAGTGCATCCGCAGCCGGCTAGGTCTGCTGGGACGAAGGCCTTCTAGAGATCAGCTTAAGCTGGGTTCTGAAAGCTGTTCAGATACTCAATGGGAGAAAGGCTCTCTGAGGAAGGGGCCGGCACATGCAAAGGGTCAGAGGACTAAGACAGGTTTGGGGCCTTTTTGGAGGTACATGGGGGAGGGTTGGTCCTGTGGATGCCTGTGCATCTGGAAAATGGCAGGGACTGGAATGGGTCTAGTTTGATTTCGTTCCCGCAGAGCCTTCTGGGAAGTGGGAGTGGAAGTAGATCTACTATCCTTGGGGACTCCTCCCTCCCTACCCAGCTTCTGATCTTTACTCAGGGACAGTTAGGTCCATTTCCCTTTGTGGTCTTGGAGTCCACACGTGTGCTGCATGGGTTCCGGAGCCACATGCCGACTGGGTGACTTTAGGCACAAAGTTCACCTCCTCTGGGCCTCAGTGTTCTCACCTGGCTATGGGGTATGGAAACCCCATCTACTGGAGGGGCTGGCTGAGGGGCAGGCATCAAGGACCTGGTGGTCCCTCTAGGTGCAGGGGCCTGGAGCTCTTCCTGCCTATGTGCCCCCCACATGTACAGCAGAGACCCCAGCACAGCCATCCAAGCCTATGGAGGGTGCTCCTGAGAAGTTCCAAGAGCACAGAGAAGGGCCCCTCCAGCCCCTACCCCCCTTCCCCCCACAAGTGGCTCCCAGACCCTCACCTCACAGTGGACTGGTACACCAGGTCCTCCCTCTTGCGGTAGTTCTCCATGTGGGAGTAGTTGGTGGAGAACATGGCGTCGAAGGTGAAGATCTTCTGTTTGATGGTGCCTCCATCTGTCACCTGCAACAGACCACAGAGGTAGCCACCCATGAGTGGACAGCAGGTGTACATGGCAGGGGTGCCCAGGACCCTGGGGTAATGCAGAAGCCTGGAAGTCCCCTAGCCTGGTGTCCCTGAAGAATCCTGTGGTTGGATTTGTTATAGCCATGACTATATTCCCAGGAACTTTTTAAAGTATTGAAGAGCAGAGATGTCAGCTTGAGGACTAAGGTGCGCCTGACCCAGGCCATGGTGTTTTCAATAGCCTCATATGGATGTGAAAGCTGGACAGTGAATAAGGAAGATCGTAGAAGAATTGATGCCTTTGAGTTGTGGT